CTACCCTGTCCAAATCCCTCTGCAGAGCTTTCCTACTCTTAAGCAGATCAACAGTCCTCTCCAATTTAGTGTTATCTCCAAACTTACTGAAGGTTCACTAGACCCCCTCCTGAAGATCATTGATAAACATAGTAAACAAAAACAACCCCAGTGCTGATCCCCACGGAACACCCTTTGTGACTGGCAACTGAAAGATTTGACTCCATCCACAATGACCTTTTGAGTATGACCACCCAATTTCTTACTGCGCAAATAAAACAAAAATCAAATGTAGCAGTTCTGATGATTGCCTATCTTGCTTCACTAAGGATCAAGAATCACAGAATCACAGATCTTTGGAGATCACCTAATCAACTCCTTGCTAGAGCAGGCTTTTTAGAGTAGACTGCACAGGGAAGTGTCCTGGCAGTTTTTTCACACCTCCAGAGATGAAGACTGTGCAACCTCTCTGAGTAGGGCTGCATAAAAGAAGTTTTTCCTCGTGTTCATATGGAATTCCTGTGTTCCAGTTAGTTCTTGTTCCCCTTTGTCCTGTCACTAGGTATCACTAAAAAGAGCCTGGCTCCATTCACTAGACACCCATTCATTACATATTTATAAGGGTGGATAAGATCACTTTCCAGTCTCCTCTTCTCCAACCTGGACATTCCCAATCTTTCTCGGGTTGGACATTAGGAAATACTTCTTATCTGAGAGAGTGATCAGGTGCTGGAATGGGATGCCCAGGGAGGTAGTGAAGTCAACATTCCTGAAGGTATTCAAGAAACATTTAGATATTGTACTGAGAAACATGGTTTAGTGGGAAATATTGGTGATAGGTGCATGATTTGACCAGATGATCTTGGAGGTCTTTTCAATCCTCAATGATTCTCTGATTCTATGATTCTTAGTTTCAGCTTTTCTTCATACAGGAGATGCTTGAGGCCTCTAATCATCTTTGTGACCCTTCATCGGACTCTCTCTAGAAGTTTCCTTACTTCCTTGAACTGAAGAGCCTGGGCCTGGACACAGTACTCCAGATGTGACCTCGCCAGGGCAGAGTAGAGAGGCAGAATTACCTCCCTTGACCTGCTGGACACAGCATTTTTAATGCGTGCCAGGATACCGTTGATCTTCTTGGCCCCAAGGGCACACTACTGATAAGTGGCCAATCTTCTGTCCCTCAGGACACCTAGGTTCTTCTCTGCAGAGCTCCTTTCCAGAATTTCCATCCCCAAACCTACACTGACGTATGTAATTACTGCTTCTGAGCTGTAGGACTATACACTTGCTCCTGATGAGGGTTCCTCTCTACCCAACTCTCCTGCCTGTCCAGGTCTTGCTGAAAGGCAGCACAGCCCTCTGGTGTGCTAGCCACTCCTTCCTGATTAATTTCATCAGCGAATTACTGTTTGTGCATTCAGATCTATCAGTCTTGAAATCACTATGCCCAAGATTGCCTACAATTGACAGCATATCACCCACAATGCCTTCCCCGTGTGAGAATTCTTCTTCGTTTTTTGGCTCAAAGCTTGCTTCCTGAGGTACTTCTTGTGATAAGACTCTGAATCATTTGTTGAGGAGGCAACTAATGGGTGCTAACCGTGTGACAATTGATATCACTTTGGGAATATTTGAAAGCCCCTTCCTCCAAAGCTCCTTGCTCTATAGAAGAGCGGATGAGAATGCTCAGGAGTGTTTACTGGTGGAAGATCTGTCCTGTGACAAAACAGCTCCAGCTAGGTGTGGGAAAACTGGGGAACGATACCATCATGTTCTGTGAGAAACAGGATGCAGATGGGCATCTCTGCTCCCTCTTATCTGCTGGCAAGGCCTGGAAGATGGGAACAAAGGAGTTTCTGCTGAGATCCCAGAGCCAGAAGCTGCCACTCAAAGGAGAGCTGACTCAACCACTTTGGATATGAGCTGTCACTCCAAAGATAGCTGACTTCACCACTTTGAAACCATTGAAAAGGGGCCATCATCACCATGGTCATCGTCGTCGTTGTCAACAGAACAACTCTGCCTGACAACCCACCGCTACTGAAGATCAAAGACTGAACTACGGACCACGCTGGATCCATGGTGGTGACTATCTCCCTCTTGCTGCCTAGAAAGACCCCTTGCTTCTTCTTTTCTATCTTCTCTATCGCCCTCCTTCCCTTCCCTATTACCCTAATTCATAATAGTGTCCGCCCTCCCCTTCCCCATTTCCCTGATTAAGATTTGTAATAAACTGGTCGGACCAACATTTGAACCGTTGCTTTTTAATCTCACGCCGTGTATATAGATAATAAAAGAACCTCCTCTCCCTCCTATAAATTGGAGCGAGACACCCTGCCAAACAGGTCAACTGTGACAACTTCTCTAGTCAGTTTCCTCAATACTTGTTGAAGTTATTCTCCACACATACCATAATTCTTCTAGTCTGTTTCTTCTCTCTGTACTGTATTTCTTGCAGATGTCTGGTCAGTTTAAATCTCCCATGAGAATGAGTTCTAGCAATCATAACATTTCTCCTCTATAATACTTGTAGAGTATTTCATCTCCTTCATCCTGATTGGGCAGTATGTAACGCACTTTTAGCACAGTATCTCCATTATTGTCCTGCCCTTGACATCCAGAGACATTTAATATTTTTATCACCATAGCTAATCTCCACACAGACAAGACATTCCCTGAGAGGGCCACCCTGCCCCTCTCTCCTGAAGAGCCTGTAACTATTTATAACAGTACTCCAGTCAGGTGAGCTATCCTACCACATCTCATTGAGGCCTATGATATCACAGTCCTGAATATGGACCGAAAGTTCCAGTTCCCCATTTATTTCCTATGCTATATGCATACATATACAAAACACAATATTACACAGCACTGGAATGCTTGTGCTTGATAAACCACAGTAGATTTCAAAGTATGGAGAGTAGCACAACCCATGAAGTGCTCTTTTTCCTTTCTGTTATTTGGTGCCTGAAATTATAACAAAATTAAAATATTAATGTTTAATAGTATTTTTAAAATGATGAATGAAGAAGAACAATTCCACAGAGGTCCTTGAAGATGCCCTTTTCTTTTACGGTCACATTTGCAAAGGAGATGAGCCCTATAGATATTTACCGAAAGCTTTATCTGAGCATAATGAAGCAGTTGTATTTATTTGTATATATGAAAAACATACAGTCAAGGTTAATACTAAAGGCAAAGTAGAGGAGAGAAATGACTTCCTAAGGGTGAAGAAGTAAAATACAGTGAAGTTAGAACTGAAAGGAGTCATGAATATTTAATAATTTGTCAAAGAGAGACAGGAGTTTCCAGAGGGCTGCACATCACAGGTAGGTGATTAACACTACAAGTTAGTAAAAGTTTATTTGCAGCAGCACATTGAAGAGAGATTAACAGAAGTAATATTTGCTTTGCTCAGGGAGGAGAAACTGCTGACATACAGATAAAAATGATGATATCTCAGAAACCAACAAACAATCTTTACCTGTGTGAACAGCTAAGACAGGCCATACCTCACAGATGTTAGTCAGGAGGAACATGTAAGAATTAGTCCTAACAAAAATTTGGTCATTTAAAGAAAAAGACTGAGTTGAAGATGATGCCACATTACAGTGCTGAAAAGCAGTATCATCATTTACTCAGCTGTAATTAAAATGGTATAAAGAAGGGTTTCCCTCTCAAAGGCTGGAAAAACTGTAGAAAGGAATCAATTAGAATATCCATGGCAACCACCAACAATCTTCTGTGCAAAAAATGGAAAAAAAAAACCATGGAAACAAAATCGAAAATCAAATGAGATTTTAAATAATGATTAAATACAAACTTTGGAGAGTTATTCTTTGTCATGTACTTCAAAATATTTTCATGTTTGTAGTTTGAAGATGCTCAAGAAACAGAGACCTGGCAAAGCAGGATTACAGAATAAATATTTAACTAATTAAATGTATGGGGTTTTTTTTTTGTTTTTTTTTGGGGGGGGGGGAGGTGGGGAAGGAAGAGAGAACAGAAAAAGATTTGTACAAGCTTATGCAGAAATGATTTTTGCCCACTCTGTTTCTGACATGTAAAAGATAAATGTACTCAGAGTTTTAGTCTTCATTATTTTTCTTCCCCAAATTCCCCCCAACTTCAATTCATCTTCAGTTAGTGATATAATGCTGTGCTTTCTGAAACTTTCTGAAGCTGCTGAATTACATTTATGTGGAGAATAGACTGCTGTCCATTTTTACCACAGTCTGCACTGCAGAGGAGCAGAACCTTCTGCAGCGGTATCTTCTTCTGAAGCACTATCTTTTGTGGATCAGTGTCCCTACAGTAACTTATTCAATGCTGTGATTTAATAATAGCAGAATATAAATAACAAAATTCAAATTGTTAATGTTCTCACTCAGATGACAGGAGATTGTAATATTCAACAACAGAGGAATGGGGTAAAAAACTGTAAAATATATAGGCTAACAGAATTATGTGGACATTAATTACGTCTAATTTTTCCAAAATCACTGCAGCTCAGAAAGCGTTTGTTAAGGTCTATATGCTTTATTCATGCAAGAAGAAATCTTCAGAGATCCATAGATGAGTTTTCTGGTTTGATCAGAAGCCAGATACAGAATTTTGTACACATTCACGAAAAGCATTAAGATATGCAAAAATCCTATTTTGTTGATCAGTGGTAATAGTGGACTTAACACAGATGAATCCTACATATGGATGAGTAACATTTCTTTTTTAAAATAGCTCTATTAATTTATCTTTTTGCAAAATCTGCCTATCATCTAGCTCTATCTTCCACTTGTACTTAATCCCTTGTTTCTTGACTTGACCCGTGCTGAAATTATTCTGAACATCAGCTTTGCCTCTATGAAACTGTTCAAAAATTGACTTGCTTTACAGCAACCAGAAGCAATTCTTGTGAGGCTGCAAATCAAGTTTTGCTCAGAATTTGAGAATCATTCACAAACCGTGATTCTATCCAAGTCAAGTGCACCACTTGAACGAGGTTGAACACACATTAGGTATTGAATCAGAAAGAAGTACTTTAATGTTGTGTTGTGAAGTAACATTACAAATTCTGTGACATTTCTCTAAAAATGGTTTGGAAAACAATATACGCTCTACATGACATATCAAAATATTTGAGTATCTGCAACATAGAAAACACGATGACAAGAAGTGAACAGACACAACACTTTAGAACTGAGAAAGGCCAGAGTCAAATTAATAACTCACTCTAAGTGTAATTAAAGGTAAAATTTTTAGTAGACATTCTAATTGTAGACTTCCTGATGGCAGGCCTTGTGATGTAAGTCTTGTTTTAAGGAACTGTGAATCTACAGAATGACTGAGAAATCCTAAAAAGCAAAATATACATTTCTCTCTCTCCTTCCCCAGTCCAAACCCTACAAAAACTGAATACAGGATGATTTGATATATAGTTCTAAGCTTAGAAATACCTTCTCAGTGTTTCTAGGATTCACATTTCCACTGGGAAATGGAGCAAGATGCCACTTTTGATTAATTCCTTCAAAGGTCTTTGAAGAGCAGACAGACAGAAACGTCAGTAGGTGGAGATGACTTTTTCACAGCTGAGAGAGAAGTTTTTCAGCAGAAAGGTGTGTTTGTAGGCACTCAGCTCTTAAGAGTCCCTGGCAGATGGTTCCTGCACAAAACATGAACATGCAAGAATGTGGCTTTTATATGGTACCAAAGAACTCAAGGGAGAAGAAGAAAGAACACAGAACTGACAGTGTTTGTCAGCACAAGCTGTTTGTTTCTTCTTTTTTTTTTTCCTTTCAGTTGTGAGGAATGGTATCATTCTGAAGTAATACACTTAGCTGCAGAGAATTGTGTATGCAACAGTAAAGCATCCTATTATTCACGCTTGGACTGAAGGTGGTGCTAATGTAAATATGTCTATTTCCATCATCTTCCGAGCTGAGATATCTGAAGTACATCTTTGCAGATGACAATCAGGCTGACAGTTTTTTTCTTTCATCATTGTTCTGGTGAAATAAATATGCAGATTACCTATTTAAGTGATGTGCTAAAGAGTACTTAAGCTTTGTCTCTCAACTTGAAGTTATAGAGGATATATAAGAAGGCTGTGATCAATCTATTGTCTTCATTATTTTAGAAAAGAAATTCATGAATATGATGAAAGAAAAGAGTGCACATGCTATAAATAAATGTGAGAACCACTCATGTAAGTTGAAGAATTATTACAGGAAGAATTTACAACACATGCCTGAACTGCAATTTACTTCCTATGAGCTCTGTCATGACTACTGTGTTGTTCTTTTTTCCTCGTGTTTTGAATAAGCATTTCAAAGAAACTTCTCTCAAGATTCTCTAACTTGCCATCTTAACATTCAACTCTGGCTGAGTGACTGTAGTTCTGCTTTATTTCTCCCACATTGTAGGCCACAGACCAAACCTTTAATATTCAAGTGAACAATTTCAGCAGACTCTATGAGTGACAAACACTGTAAAATCAGCTCTGCTGAATGTTTAGTAGGCAACTAGAACATAAATTGTCTTCTGACATTATCCATATCCTGATGCCTTTCCCAGCAACCCAATTTCTACGTTTTTCTCCAAAGTATCAAAAAGCCCAGGGAGGCTGATTATCACATATACATTCATCTTTCATAGATTATATGCTGTACGGCCGACTGAATTTCTCAGACATTCAGGGGCCCAAATTCTTGAGATTTTCTTTTGTGTGTGCCTTCTTTTTGGGAAAACGGAATTATACCTTCCAGCCTTTCACATAATCAAACTTTAAAATGTATCATTTCAACAAAAGCCAAAACTTTCAAGCCATTACATGATTGCAAGTGCAGAAACCATTGGAAAGCACTGCTGGAAAAACAACACATTACAAATTTTAAAAGCCAATCAATCAGTCATTGAAGATTTCTTTATTGTTCCATGGAAAGAGAAAAATTTTTACTTTAATGCAGAGGAGTGTTCAATCTATGGCTATGAAAAGCAGAAATACGCATAGGATGCTTCTTTATTTCACTGTGCTAGTTACATGCTCAGTTCTTTTGGTTTGAAACCTTCTAATACCTTTTTCGCTCTTTAGTTTCTAAAACAACCAAGAAAGACATTTTTATGAGCATCTGGCATGCAGAATCATGTGACAACAGATGGTGCTTGAAAGCAGCTTTGAGCAGTTAGATCAGCACTCAGAAGACTGCAAAGGTGCAGGATTGACCATACCAACTTCAGAGTGTTATTTGTCTGCTCAGGCGTGGGAAACATGGTAAGACTCCTATTTGTTTTGCTGAACGCTAACGTGCAGCATTCCGCACAGGACAGGGTTTATAAGGTATCTATGCATGACTGTAAGACCAGTAAATGACTGTAAGAGCAATACAACATCACTTATCCAAGGCCTGACCCAGTTGAGATCACAAGCAATGAGAACTACATAGCTTTGCTATTATTTTTCTTATAGCTATCTTCTTTAAAAGGAAAAATGACACTCCAGAGCAACTGCTCTATCGCAGCCAATGAACACTGTTTCTTTGCCATCTCTTTTAATCATAATAAGTTTTGGAGTTATGATCCTTATGAACCAGAGGCATTATGAATCGTCTTCTTATGAATCCTTCAGAACCAGGGGCATCAGCTTCTTTCAGCAGTTTCCAGCCAAAACAAATTTCACTAAACATCACAAAGATTACTAGCTGTACCACAGATGGTTCCTTTCAGCCCAGAAGACATAACTTTATTTTTGTTTTGGAGTACACTCCAAGAGTTGCTCACTTCTGAGAAGAAACTTATCATCTAACCTCAACCCAACTAGCAATTACTGAAAGCGTCAGAAGGACAAGATGACAGCTCAAAGCCACTTTTGAGGCCACTGATTTACCATGTTCAGTTTGTTTAGCTGGTTATTTAGTTTGCACAGCCAGTATGTGATTTCTCTTCTATTTCAGAAGTTGTGTAGCTATTTGTTAAATGTATCCCTGTGAATCACGAACCCTACATTAATATCTTTATAGCTATTAATCCAAACAGGGGCAGGACAAAAACAGAGAACATTTTCTGCACGTCTCTCCATTTCTTCTTCACACTGCAAGATGCTAGGGCTGACACCACAGGACACCAGCTGACAGCAGTTGACTTTGGGGGATGTGGCCCAGCCAATTCTATAACACTGATAATATAAAGGCACAGGCCTTATTTAAGCATATGTTAAGTATCTTCTCTATTATTTAGGACCAATCTCAAAAGCAGAGACCTAGCAGAATGTGATCAGCAATGAGGAAGATTTTTGTTTAAGGAAATCAAACTTAGTAACTCCAAAAACCTTTGTTATAAGGGCCAGTGTTACACAAAATAGCATTTTCTTCCTCTTTTGTTATTTTTATTTCAACAATTGCAAAAGCAGATGGGGAAATGTGTGGAGCTCTTTATTCATCATTGTTCAAAAGCCAAGTTTCCTTTGTAGGACTGCTGTCTTGAAAAAAGTCAATTTAAAATCTGTAAATTAAATTATTCAGAGTGATAATGATAAATATCTGAAACTAGGGCAGTATTCTCTTAAAATTCTGTTTTATTCACCTTCCTTTTTTCAGAGTTTTACAAATACTAGCAGATCAAAATCAGTACATAGTAATACCTGAAAAATTTGGATAAATCTAACTATAGAATTACAGAACATCCCAGGTTGGAAGAAACCCACAGGATTACGGAGTCCAACATCTGGCTCCACACAAGGCCAACCTGATTTTCTGGTAACAGATATTTTGTAGCAGCTAGAATGAGCAGAATGAGCAAAGGGTGATGGTTCCCTAAGTTTCAATTTTAATTGGCAAAGTTAACTGCATTCATATAGAAGCTTAATTTATTACATCTGCTTTTATCAGGCTTCACAACAGAAGTTTTTTCTGTATTTAGCCTTGTTTGTGAATGATTGTGTAAGGTTGGCTAACAGCAGTGTGCTATAAACACTTCTGATAAGTGTGATACTATACATTTAGAGTTGAAGATCATTATAAATTCTTCAAGCATAATTCTAGAATTACAGACATTTAAAAATGAAAGCATTCTTACTAGATGTATTTCCTGACTGCAATAAAAATACAATCTAATGTTATGTTTTTACATGGAAGGGATAGATTTTGCTCTGCTACAAATAAGTAACAAGCCTGAGGGAAGTCAAAAGTGCTGTCAGGCCAAAAAAGAGCATTAGAAAAGGATTTAAGGATAAATTCCTTTATTTAAATGTGGAAGGAAAGCCAAATATTTTTAGATCAGTCTTAACTAAGGATTTTTCCAATTTTCATTCAAAAAAAAAAAAATAATTTGTACAATCAAAAAGATTCGAAGACTTAGTTCTGCAGCTGTGATTTTATTTTCACTTGAAACACAATAATTATTCTACTATGCTGAACTACACTTGTGTTTTAAAATACACATTTCTCAGTCTTAGTAGGGTTGATTACAGCTTTGTTGTGACTTTCTTCTGCGACATGAGCCCACCGAGTGTAATGCCAGCTAGCTCACAGATCTCCATCTAACACTGCGGAGGTCAGGCTCCCTGGTGACTGCTAGTGCTTAATTTAACTACTTTGCCTCTCCTCATTTTAATATCAAATCATGGCCTTTACCCTCAAATACGAGACTACTATTCACTTTAATACTGTGAAGGAAATGAAAGCATGCCTCTTCTAATTGTTTTATTACTGATTTCACATCTGTGGCCAAACAGTTTCCTGGTACAATAAACATAATATTAAAATGTAACAGAGGAGTAATTGGAAAAAGATCAAATTCATGTTGCAGGGGAAACAGCAGGAGAAGGCTGAAAGACTGCATTTAGTTGACCCCTGGAAAGTTCTCAGCTCCTTCTGTGAAGTCAGGACCAGTGCAGACTTACCACACAGGCTGCAAATTACAGCTTCATGAGCCTCCCTTCTTCCTGGCCTCGGAGGCCTCTGCCACTCTTCCATGCTATGAAAAATGGAAAGACTCATGTGAACCCCATTGTTTACCTAATTCAGACACACTGAGATCTTGTTGGCCATACTAAGACTTCTCCTACCTCTCTTCTCATTTCTTCACTGTTTCAGTTGTTCCAATCAATCTCTTCTTTACTGTATGAGAAAGAAAAAGAGCAACTCATAAATAAAACTATTATGTATGGGAAACAAATCATATCCTTATTTGAGGGATATTAAAATGACAATATTCCTAATATTACCTGATTTTGCTTTGTCTACCTCTCTTTTGGTCATAATTTGGCATTTTATATGGCATAAAAAAGCCTCCTGTGAAAGAACAGGCATCCACTGCTACTTCAGTAGCAATAACCATAGCAGGTTTTTTTTCAGTGACTCAAAGAAGTCTGATTCATTTTGTGAGAGCTACTGGCATTTGAGCTGATTAGGAATAGGCAGTGGCTGCAAAGTAGCCTATTGGGCTACAAGTTTGGCTCAGCTGATGACCCATTCCCTTTACACATCACAACTGATAATGGATGACATAAATCAGATGCTGAGATAATCACTTAAATCCTAATAAGCTGTAGTAGGGCTTCCTCCAACTTAAATTTATGTGGTCTTTTAGTATATATAAAAAAAAACTTTGTTTTTTTTCTGTTCTGAACTGTCTCACTGCATTCCTAAAGCCTACATAAATGCTACCACTAGCCTCAACCCTCAAGCAATTTATATGATCGTCTAAAGACAAATAGCTAAATGCTTTCTTATTTCCACCTTGGTTTGAATTGAAGGTCATTTCATTATTATAATGCACAAAGTTTGCACCTAGACTTTTTCTACTACATTCTAGATTTTAGCCTCCATTTGTTAGCTAGTTAGTTTGTTTAAACCCTAATGAGAAACACTGGTATGCTCATTTTAGAATGCCATGGGCAACATTATTTTTTTGTTGTTTGTTTGTTTTTGTTTTGTTTTGTTTTGTTTTTCTGTCAAATGTCCACTCACTCCCATTACTCTCAGTAGGATTGAAGTCAATTGGATGGACAAGTTAAAACTATCCCAACTCCAGTTACAACATTAGCTCAGCAACATTAATTCTAGCCTCATAGGATGGCTTGGGTTGCAAGAGATTTAATAATCACTTACTTAGAACCCCCTGCTAGGATTGCCACCCACTAGGTTACCAGTACTGGCTGTCATTCTATTTATGGGGAAAAACAGGAGGTATAAACATGGACACTGTCAAATACTCTTACAGGTTAAAAAATGTGAGGAACAGAAGAGACACTGGAAAATGTACGCTGTGAATCTAGTTCAAAAGCAGAAGTTGTGTAAGTGGGATACAGAAACACAAAAAAGACTGGAACAGTAAAAGAGGCAAGACCACAAAAATGTTGCAAAAGGCCAATGGCGTTAAAGAGAATGCAAAAGCAGAGCCTTATCTTGAAATGACTGGAAATTAATACAAATGTCTTTGAATAACAATAGGAAATACTTTACATGTATTTAAATGCTGAAATTTGGCCTTTAAAAGTTACATTACTTTTGGGATCATATGGCTCACAGACAATATCTGCAAAAGTACACTGAAATTTCAAAGCATAGCCTTTGTGTGGAAGCAGACTAGTTATTTTCACTTGGCTAGGCTAGTTGAAATCAGCACCAGTGCTGCAATTGGACTTGGTTTTGAAAGCATTTTCCAACCTAAATGATTCTCTGACTCTATGAAATCCATCATAATAAAAACTAGCGTTCAAAAGAAGTCATCTGTTTCTTTCATCTCACATCTCTGCAGTTTGTGACATTCTGCTACTCATGTGAAAGAGGAGATATTAATGTTAAATTAATATTCTCCTATTGCAGCTACATTCTGGCTGGTTAACGTATCAAGAAAAATATGACGATGCACTCTCATGTTGCTAACTGTTTCTTCCTACATTAGCTTTTCAAAGGTAAAAAAAGGATAAAGATTTGCTAGCAGCACCAAGAGTAATTAAGTTTCCTACCTTGTGTTTCTGGAAGTCTCATACACCCTCTGCCACTAGTTATTTTCACTTTACTAAACTGGTGCTTTTCTTTTTTTTTACATCGGCTCCCATGAATGCTGCTACGAGGGTAAAAAGAAGTCTGGTGTGCTACACAAACATAGCTGGAGCGTCACGGCTACTGGCCTCTTGCCAAACAGAAAGGAGCAGGACTCAGTTTCTCCTAGTTTATCTTGGTGAGGAGAAGAATGGAAGCTGTATATCAGATTTCCAAAGCTGACAGTCACTATCAATTTACATCTTTAACGGGTTCCCTACTCTGATATTTGACAGACAGGTGCTTATCCTGGATACTGTGGCAGTATTATTTTGTCCAATATAAAACAGATATTGAATATTTTTCTTCTACGCTTCTGGTGACAGACCTCCTTTGTCCTTAGGGATTGTTTTCCTTGGTGAAAGCAGTACATGCTATGGAAGTTTCATTCTGAAGGCTTGACAATTTTATGTTTATTTTGCTTTGGACTGATATAAGAACTCCAGTTTTCTCATATTTGAAGATCCACTTGTAAATGTCAGAACAGCTTTATTAGAAGTCTCATGGGGAGGCTCTGTGACACTTCTGAGCTGGCTCCCTTGTTCTCCCTTTATTGTTTCAACAACTAGAAATTACAATATGACTGCTGGGTAGCAGACACTTCTGTACAGATTTATTCACACAAACATACCTTAGAATATTCAGGCTGACATATTATGTATTCAAAACTTCTGTACATCTTGGATCTTAGACACTGCAAGGTAGATTTAGTTGAGCAGTGGAGGATGCTAAAAGAACAGTACCTTCCCTAAACTAGTATACAGCTGATCCCACACTGACCAGCCCTAGAGTAGCTTCCAGACATTTTCCTCTGGTTGTATTTATTTATTATTGCTCTTAATGCTGCTCAGCCTCTGCCTTGCTACCACTCATGCTTTGGATGCCCTTGTCAAGATATTTTCAAAGGAAGTGTAAACATGTGCCAATAAGGCCGGGGAGCACTGGAGAAATTCAGTGCCTGGTAGGCTACCTTCTATAATGGGCAACTGCACTTGTTCTGACCCCAAAGCACTTGCTTCCTCCTGAAGCAGAAAAAGAAGCAAGCAAACGCTAGAACCTCAGACTCTGCCTTAAACTCTTTTATCCTTAGGAGAAGCAATTTCTAGGCTCTTCTTTTAGTAAAAGAACCAGAACTTCTACACTGCTTATACAAAACTGTGAAGGCTAGTTTTTCCTTACGTCTAATTTAGTTCTTTCCCCATCTCCATACCACTTATGAGATTTCCAGAGTTCACCCTGCATCTTTATATTGTCTGTACACATAGAGTCCTTGTCTAATAAAAAAGGTATCATATTATGTAGTCAATTTTCAGGTAGGGTTGTACAGTAATTATTAGTATAACGTGAAATTTTATTTGGTGTGCAGTGAAAAAATAATACTTTGAAATTAACGATAGTGCTAAGTAAACTAAGCCTGGAGACTTAATCAAGAGGGCCAACACCAGTGATATTACTTTTTATATTTTTATTAAATCTACTTGAACCTTGACAAGGAAAATGCAATATAAATTGAGTGAAGAATCCAATAGAATAACAGTGATTTTGCATCATCTATTAAAATAGTAAATGTAAAAAAAATTATTTTCAGCTGAAAGTAGCTGAAGAGGAATAATCCTGAGATCTCTAAGGAACTGACACACAGACCTCTCCAAAAGAAAGGGAAAAAATGCAAACTAATTGCAATGAAAACATTTTATGAAAACTTGTAAAGTTTCTATTGCTGTAAACACAAAACTATATTTTTAAGAAAACACATACCAACATTAACATGTATTTTTTACAGTACTTATGTTCAAGAATCCTATACCTAAATATTTAATAGAATCATAGAATCATAGAATCACAAGGTTGGAAATGACCTATAAGATCATCTAGTCCAACCATCTCCTCATCACCATTGCCACCACAAGCACTAAACCACATCACGCAGCACGTCATCCAGACGCCTGTTGAACACTGCCAGGGACGGCGACTCCACCACCTCCCTGGGCAGCCATTCCAGTGCCTGACCACTCTCTGAGAGAAAAAGTTCTTCCTTATGTCTAATCTAAATCTCCTCTGATACAACTTGTGGCCATTGCCCCATGTCCTGCTCGTTGCCTGGGAGAAGAGGCCAAATCCCTCTCCACCACAACCTCCCTTCAGGAAGTTGTACGGTGCAATGAGGTCTCCCCTGAGCCTCCTCTTCTCCAGACTGAACAATCCCAGCTCCCTCAGCATCTCACAAGACTTGTGCTCCAGACCCCTCACCAGTTTCGTTGCCCTTCTCTGGACACGTTCCAGGGCCTCAATGTCTATCTTGTAGTCTTTCCATTAACTACTCTCTCAACTATTAAGAAAGTATATAAACCTTTATACGAAAGCTGTTCGAAAGTGCTCTCCTTGCTCTGAGGGTTTGCAAACAAACAGAGAAGTACATACAATCATAAGTATATGTCCTAAAAATCAAACAGAGTTTGATCTTTTATGAATATAAATGACAATAGAATTAGCTTTGATGCTTATTCTTTTGAAATTCCCTAGCAAAGAACAGATTGAAAAAATATTACATTTGTAAAGTTATGCTTAGAATTCCAGAAATGCCATGATTAAACTTTCATTTGAAACACAGAGCTGTCTCTGTAGTTCACTCAGTGTGTTGCAGTCTTTACATACAAAATGTGTGGCTGAGGATGCTGGGACGTCCCATGCCTAATCTTAAAACCACCATAAAGCCTTCCTTTGCTGTACATCTCAACAGCAAGATGCAAAGAGGCATCCTGCAAAGAGAGGTAACACATAGCAAAGTGGTACCACACAACAAAAGAGGCAAGGTGTAACAAGATACATTTCGTAAAGTTGTGTTATGTGTAAGAAATATTTTATGATATGATAGTTTATTCTTTTGTGATCTTTGAATTTCTACGTGCTGCAATATTGTCTGCTAATATGTTTAATATTGATAAACATCAGATATGCAGCTGCTAAGACATCTTATCTCCTAATAGTTTTTTTTTAGGCATTAATTTAGGAAATATTATTTCCTTCCTCTTACTGTCCTCTTCAATCTTACTTGCAGAAATGTACATTCA